GTTTGCATGTATTTAATAAATAAAGTTTCAATGGCTCTTTCCTTTAGTTTGAACAGATTGTTCAAATATAACATTCACAAAATAATTCCATTTGTAGCTTTAATTCCATTGTGCCACTGGCTCAAATAATCCCTTATGGAATCCCATATTTAGAAAAAATGCTTTTTGCTTTTATAAAATAATACTCCACCTTTGTGACTGTGTTTAAGGTTATGTTATGTTAAAACCATATTTAAGGTGTTACATGAAATATGGTTGTATTATTGTATATTTTGATTTGGTGGCTCATTGCCTCCAAATCCGACACAGCAGAAAAATGTGTTTTCTTTGATGAAATGAATGGAAATGTTTTCCGTTTCCTTTCGTTTAGTCAGAAAACAAATTTGTATGCTGTGCACATGTCTAGCCGGTATACAAACATTCACCAATCAGCTGATCGGTGAGTGTTTGTAAATAAATGAACATAGTGTGCTTCCTATGTCCCAGTTATGAATGAATGGGAAGTAACCTACATAACTTTCCATTCATGATTGTGGACATACTAAGTACACTATATTCACAATGTATGAATGAACAAGAACACTCAGTATAGGGCTTCCTGTTCATTTATAAAAGAGCCTGCAGAAAAAGAGATTGAGGAATCTGTGTCCTCAATCTCTTTTTCTATTTCTAAAAGGAAATATCAGGGGGTTTAGACCCATGATATTTCCCTAGAGCCTCCTTAGAAAAAAAAAGTCAGTTTCGGTTTCAGCCTGACCAAACTTTTTTTGGTATTAAAATTAAATTTCCAGTTCACTTGTCTCCCTTGAATGTCTTGGAAACCCAGTCAGCCTTCAGGGCACTGATAATCTTTGTCCATCAACTTTGCAATGAAACTGTACATCTACATATGGACAACAAATTGGCAGTGGCCTATGTACAGAGACAAGGGGGCACCAGCAGCAGGCCCATGATGAGAGAAGTAGAGCCCATCATGTCTTGGGCCCAAAAGCATCTACGGAACCTAGAAGCAACCTATCTTCCAGGGCACCAGAACACCTTGGCTGACTTTCTCAGTTACTTTCACCAGTGGTGTATATAGGTGTTGTGCTGCCCTGGGCAAGACTACAGTCTGGGTGCCCCCAATCTAAATTTTCCCTACCCCTTCCTGTATAAGACATTTTGTGTAACCTGTCAGTCGCTGGATACAGTGTGCATGCTGTGTCCAGCTTCTGAGAGGTTGCATTAGTAGTGTAGCAGGGAAGCTGGGGTCTCAGGTGGGCTGTACAGGATCTCTTGTGACCCCGCATAGCCCACCTGAGACCTTGTGGAGCCCACCACAGACCCCACATAGCCCACCACTGACTCTTAGTGACGCACTGGACTCTGCACTGAGTGACGCACTGGGCTCTGCACCTAGTGACGCACTGGGCTCTGCACTTAGTAGCATACTGGGCTCTGCACTAAGTGACGCGCTGGACTCTGCACTTTGTGACGCACTGGGTTTTGCACTTAGTCACGGGCTGGGCTCTTTACTTAGTGACGTACTGGACTCTGCACTTAGTGATGTACTGGGCTCTGGAACTAGCAAAACAGTGGACTTAGAAGTAAAACAGAAGACCACTCAGGGAATACTGAGAATACATGCCCCCCCCCCAAGCCCTGCTACCTGCTTGTCGCTCTGTCTCCTCAGTAGGTGTAGCCTGGCCACTGGTCAGATGCTTCGCCTCCAGCAGAGCCCGCACTGGAAGAAGGCAGGATAGCAGCGGCCGTGAATGTAAAAGTGCCTCTAGTTGTACAAACTGACAGCCCCGGAGCCTCCTGTCTTGCCTTCCTGCTCTCCAATCCAGTTTGCCCTTGTCAGTGGGCCCTGGGACGGCCGGGCCGCATCTCACGCCGCCCCAGCCCCACCTCCGGTCCCGCCTCGGCCCCACCTCCACCCCTCCTTCTTCTCCTCCACCCAGCAGCTCTCGCGGGTAAATTAGGTGGCCACAAGACCCAACGAGCGGCCGCTTAATTTGCCTGATTAGGCAGCTTGGTTCCCCGCAATGATGTGTGGGCGGCAATCTGCCGCCCCCTGTAACGTGCCACCTTAGGAAAACGCCTTGTTTGCTTTGCAGTGAACAAACACAAGTGGTCCCTGTATCCAGAAGTCTATGCACACCTCACCAGATGGCGTGGTGATTGAGAGGCACAAACTTTCAAACTTAGGCTGCTCGGAAGGTGTTATAGAGACCCTCTTACAAATAAGAAGGGATTCTACCAAGCAAACCTACCAAAGAGTCTGGCACAAATTTATATTAATGGCTCAGGAGGAAGGCATTGATCCAGCTAATCCAGACATTACAAATGTACTGGACTTTCTGCAGCAAGGACTAGACTTTGGCTTTAGCTGGAACACTCTCAAAGTGCATGTTTCGACCATTACCTTACTGATGGGCACAAGATGATCCTTCAAACCTCTAAACATTTACTTCTTGAAGTCTTGTCTAAAATTCAAGCCTCCAGTAGAAGCGCTGTTCCCTCAATGGGATTTCTCTATCGTCATTGCAGCACTGTCAGAACCCCCATTTCATCCTAATGCTGATTCTTCACTATGGAGCCTTACCTTAAAACTAACCTTTTTAGTGCCCATAACATCAGCTAAGAGTGATTCAGAAATCCATGCCTTAGCCTTTAAAGAACCTCACTGTGTCATGCCAAAGGTGTCCGCTCTATTTCATTTAGATTCATTTAGATCAATAACTCGTTCTTCCAAGACAACGGCCTACCACACCCGCTGTATATTGCAGGTGCACTCAAGTCCTATATTTCGTCCAAAAGCTCCTTCCGGTCTGCAGACAAACTCTTTGTGATCCCAAAGTGATTGTGATGGGGTGAGGAAAGGTCAAGTGGCCTCCACAAGGACTATCACATTATGGCTGTTTAAAGTCATCAAGAAGGCCTACACCATCAGTGATCTTCCACCTCTGCAAAAAGTGTGGTCTCATTCTACCAGTGAGATAGCAACATCATGTGCAGCCTTTTCCAGAGTCTCCCTGGAAACTGTCTGCAAGGCATCTACCTGGTCTTCAAATCATATGTTTTTGACCGACTATAGAGTTGATCCAGAAATTTTGATGACCTTAGCATTCGGGGAAAAAAGTGATTATTTCTAGGTTATGGTTATCTTGATACTATTTCTCTGCATGAAACAGTTTTCCCCACCCTTAATTGTTTGGTGATTATTATTTCCAATTGTGTCCTGCCGTAGTGCCCCAGGAAAATTGAACATTGTATACTTACCTATCTGTAATCTTCCTTTCCTGGTGCATCCACAACAGCATACATCCCCCGCATACATCCCCCACCCAAACTGAATTATATGAATATACTTGATATCTGTGACAACGGGGCTCACGATAATGACTAGAATGGTCTCCAGCATTCATGGGAAAACATTTTTTTGAGTGCCTTTCCTATGGGGGTTAGAGGGCGGACCTTAGGCGATTGTGTGCTGCCGTGGTTTCACCAGGAAAGGAAGATTACGGATAGGTAAGTATACAAACTTCCATTATAAAGCATGCACA